GCCTTTCCACCGAAATCAAAAATTGAAAGAACGACTCGTTCTTGGACTCGACATGGACCTCGGAGGTCCATGCTTCTTGGCCCACTGCTGCAAAGGTTGTGGTAGGAGCTTTTCTGTCTTTCGCGATTGCAAAGTTCGGTCAATTGCTTCTTCTTCATGTGAAATCTGGACTCCGCAGCTGAAAAAAATTGAAAGAGACAAAACTGTGGTGCTTTGGCTCAATAGAGGAAGATGACCCCCTTTTCAAGTTCTTGGACTACATGCGATTCCTGGAGTGGGGTCGCCGAGGGTTCGATGTCATCTGGAGCAATTTCTACGTCGATGGCGACGGCCTGGGAGACATGACGACCGCCGTAATGCCGGTGTATGCCCCAGACACGGCGGAGGGCATCCCTGGCCTCCTGGTTGGTGTCGCTGCAAAGGACGTGTTGGTGTCCGAGCTTCAAGCGGACGATCAAGACTTCAGGAGCGTTTTCAACAGGATCATCAAGAGGACTTCCACCTGCAGAGTGGGGGAAATAAACGTCTGCCAGCTTCAGGTAACAGCATTCGCGGGCAGCAAGCTTAGCACTGCTTTGCGGGAAATGTACGTACAATAATGGACATTATAACACGCTCGCAGACCCCACACATGTGTCGATTTTAAGGCACAACTACATATCCAGCGGAGCTTGCGAAATATGTGCTGGAATGTGCTCAACAATTTGCATCCCAGGCACAAACTCACAACGGTGTTTGCGATCTGTTCTGATCTCCGCCGCCAGTTCGAGTAAGCCATGGTACTTGTTAAATACTTGTTTGAATGCACACGATATTCAAAGTGCAGTCGCATTACATAAACTTGCGCAGAATGTTGATTGGTGCGAGGGAGAAAGCAGTTTTCCCAAAACAAGGGATAATAGTAATTCTAAGCATTCTTGAAATGGTTGGGCTTGGATCTCCACTTAACAACCTGAAACACACTGCAATTGGTCTGGTGTACCGGCAGCGAATGTCGCAAGTAATGTAAAGCGATACCGGTCAACATGGAGTGATGAGGTGGATACAGTGGGTACTGGATAACACTGCGTTGCTCTGCCATCTGAAAGAAAACAGCTTGGATTCTGTGGTTGAAAGGGGGGTGGAGGGGTGGTGCCACAGTTGGCGTATGTCAGCAAACCATGACAGTATTCCTTCCTAGTCCGCTGGCTGTCATGCAATGGAGCGCTTCATTATTTCTGAATGCTATTTGAAAATGGCATGGTTTTGGCATTTTTCGCAAACGTTACTGGTCGGTGTGCTTGAGTCCACTGAAATTGCAAGAAACTCCTTAGTTTCCCAGCTCATAAGGAACTGGCACCAGCCGTTTTGCATCCTGGTACACCACTCAATGATTCCATCGCCGCAATCTCCAGGTGCTGCGTGGAGAAAAAGCCGAGTGTCCAGACATCTTCGAAGAGAAGCCGTGCTTCCATCTGCCAGGCGCACAGAAGTTCTACACTGTCGACCTGGAGCGCAAACTGCCGTTTGAGGAGGCTGCCGACGCGTGCATCGCTCTTGGCGGCCGCCTTGCAGAGCCTCGGTGCGATGAGGAACATACTATGTTGTCTGGATTGGCAACAAGAGAGGGCTGTTGGATTGGTATTCGCCTTGACACCAGCGGTCGTCCCTTTGTTTGGAGGTAAAGCTGCCTGACTCAGCAAGGATTCAATACTCGGGATATCGATTTGGAGGTTTGTTAAACTGGTATACTCGGTATACTTGACGTTCGCAATCGTTGCGACGGCGGCAGACCCGCAGCCGTGTGGGCAAGAGCGTGTGTTGGAGACAAAATAAATCGTGACAAAGTAAGGGCTCGTGCGTTTTTTCAAGTTGAAACTGAGGGTGTGGTCACCACACACCCTCGGGGTGGCTACCACGCTCTCGGAATGGTTAACACCCTGTGGAACCTTGGACTCCGAGGATTTTTTCTCCATCCGGAATGTAGTACGTAGCTTTTCCAACCCGGTGACCCGCAAACCCGCTGCCAGCTCATTTCTCATCGCCATCGATGCATTCGTTGGTTACAGCCAGACGGTGCGGCGCTGTGCCTGCCCTCGCACATCAAAATTCAGTCAATGTTGAAGCAATGTTTTCAACCACAGTCACTGTTGAGTCAATGCCTTTTCAACCACAGTCAAAATTTCTTACTCTTTTAGATCAGCGGATGGAGAATTGTCGTCTCTGAGGACAGCGCTAGTGGCTTCTTTATGTTCAATTTCGTCAGCGGTGCAACATGCAGTCATGTGGTGAAGAGATTCTTTGCTTACCTGCAGATGGCTAATTTCCGAGGAAGATGCAGAGCAGCCATTCCAACTAGGGGAGAAAGGGCCTTCCCTTTGGTCTTCTAGGGCGAAAGATAAACATGACTGTGCGGCAGTGGACCGGCGGGGACGGACCAGGAATGTGTTTGACTCCGACTGCGAAAAGAAGATGGCATTCATCTGTGAATTCGATGAGGCAAAGCCCCCCGAGATGTGCATGGTAAGTGCTCAATGTATGTTTCAAACTGCCGTTCCACATATTAGATACCATATGAAGGATGTTCATTTCGTTCGTAGTTATCCTTGAAATATTCTTGTACATTTCATTACGATTTTCAACCCTTTCGTACTGTAACATAACAACTCACCTTTGGTTGCGAAGCGAGATTAGAATGCAGAGATGCCAAAAAAATGTGAAGCAGCCAATGAAGTAGCCCCCTTGCAGGCTTCAAGAGGATCTGGTTGGCCACAACTCGCCCTTCTACTTGGATGACCATGCTGCACTCCAAAGACGTATGGAAATCGCCCCTGCCGCGAATGAAAGGCCCAATTGCGATGCGAGTAATTATAGAGCTACAACGAGCAAAATACCCTGGGGATAACCGGTTTGAGAGCCCCTTGCTTTTATCTCACGGTGCACCAGCGTAGAAACTGTGAACTGGTCAGCATGCGCTGGAAACATAGTCAGCAGGCTGTTTTGTCCAACCTGCGCCCGTTGGTCACGATACAGAGCAGAAGAAGAAAACAACAACATCTTGTCGCAAAATTGAGGAGCAAATCGTCATGCTAAATTTTTCCAAATGCCGAAGGTTTGAACGTTCTATGGCATCCAGATGCTGATCCGATGCTACGCCTTGCATTGGAAGATGATTCAGTGCACATGACATGGAGCGGTAATGCATATGTGGTTGTGCAATACCGCATTCCATGGGGCATAGATCTGTAGGCAAAGCTTGAACTATGGTGGTACTCACTAAGGCTTCCTGCAATATATTTTTGTGTTTTTCTCGTGCAAGTTTTAATGAATCAATCCAACAACATTTGCCTAAGATGCCTGTTTTAGATCTGCGGTTTTCAGTACCAATTACTAAGGATTATGTCAATGCCTTGAAGCCGTGGACATTCCTGCTGAAATTGCACCAGAAACGTGGATAAGGCTGCAATCGTGTCTCAGACTGATATCAATAAAATAGTTGAAATATTTCCTTGAGTGAGAGAACTAATGCTATTTGGCAACGGTCAATTGTACAATACATATGATTACATAACATTACGCTTGAAACGTAACGTTCTGTATAACGTACTGTATACCGAAAAATTTTCGCGGGAGAAAAATTTTCGCCCATTTCGCGGTCGAGCCAGTGCGCGAAAATATTTCTCCGCGAAAATTTTGGTCCCGCGAACTTTTTTCGCCCGTGAACTTTTCGGCACCCCTCAGGGGCGGGTCAGGCGCTGGGCGCGCAGCTCGACCTCTTGGCTTTGCGCTGCGGCCTGTGGCCCCCGCCGAGCGGCAAAGAAGCCCTGAACTGGCCAGCGGGGGGTTCGCAGGGCAGTGGCCATCGGCTGGCCGAGTCTCCATGGAGCCCACAAGTTTTTGGGAGCATTTCGAGGGCACAGGCGCAGTGTGGCTTGCAAAGCGATCGGCGACCGAATCTGTGCCTGCATCGAGCCCGTTGAACGCGCAAGGAGCGCGCCCTGGGGACGTTCCACAGGGTGGCTGCGGATGCGGCGCGAATGCTGCGGCGCATGTCGCCTCTCATGGGCACCCATTCCCACCATCGGCGGGTGCCATTTCAGGCGACCACGGGTGATAGGAATGGGCGCCTGCGAGGCGCCATTCCTGCTGCGCCTCTTGCCCTTCGCGGGCGCCCATTCGCGTCGCCTACGGAGGCCGTTCCAGGCCACCGCGGAGGGCGCGAATGGGCAGGCGAATGAGGGTGCGCCTGTCGCGCCTATCGCGCCTGTCGGCTGGCCATTCGCGCCACCGACCGGGGCGATTCAAGGCAGCGCGGGCGGCGCGATTGTGCGCCCGCGAGGCGCTTATCTTGCGGCGCATCTCGCTCCTCGGGCTGGCGCCCACCCGGGCCACCGGCGGGGCCCATCCTAGGCCACAGCGGGCGGCGCGAATGGGCGGCCGTGAGGCGCCGATCCGGGCGCTCCTCCAAGGCCTCGCGGGTGACCACTCGGGCAGGCCCTGCTGGTCGCCCACTACGCCAAAGGATCCTCAGTTTGCTGGGCCTCCGAGCGGGCTACAGCCAAGGCGGGCACCCGCTGGTACCCCACCCGCAAAGGTCGCGCAGCGACAATGTTCGCGCGGCAGAAATTTTCGCGGGGAAAAAAAGTTCGCGGGAGAAAAATTTTCGCGCACCGACGAGTGCGCGAAAATATTTCTCCGCGAATTTTTTTCCCGCGAAATACGCGAAATTTTTTCTCCGCGAAAATTTTTCGGTATACAGTTTGTAAATTGTTGGGGAGTGCACATTCGTGTAATCCTTAATAACCGACATGCCTTGTGTAGAATCATCTTTCGACGATCCATTGCAGCACAAGAACTCACAGTTGTCCTTTTAGGCATTTCGCATACGGAAAGCTCGCATCGACGGAGAATCATGCATTTGAATGCACGCTGCAATAAAACTGATGGCTAAAGAAGTGCTTCAAGTACGTGTGTGCGTTGAAGAGCCACGCCGCGTTTTGGTGTCCTGCCTTTTCCAACAGGGAGGCGACACTTTGACGGTGGACAAGCGGCGCGATCCAGAGGTGCGTCGGATCAAGGACTGTGGCGACTACGAAACAGCATTGGCTGCAAGCACTGCCGTCTCAGAGGCTACCAAGAGCATCGATCCGGCGGAGGTGGTGTGCCCCATGGGGGGGCTACAGAAAACCACCAAAGACGTCCAATGCTGCTGTGGATGCGATGAGGAGTAAGGCTGCTGCACTGCCTGTTGGGAAAATCGATAATTCTTTGCGAGCTCTGGGGGATGCGGAGTCTCTCTGAATGAGAAATACTGAATCAGAAACCTTTGGTGGTCTGAGTCGGAAATGCATTTCTCAAAGGCAATTGCGTGCGCCAAATGAAACCATGCAACCAACCTGTGTGCGTCGGCTTCCCAATTTCTCGCTGATTTTTAATGTCAAATTTGCGCAGCTTTGGGCGACATTCAACCAATGCCTCATTGTTCTAGATGTTACGGCGGTGCCATGGCAGTCTCCTCAACTCCATCGCACCAGTCTGTCTAAGATGCTTCAATGCTCAAACGAACAAGTAATAGCGATCATTCCTATGGCAACAAACGGTACATGTATTGGTATTTTGTAATGCTTGGTTGTGTCACTTGCATGACGAAAGAATTTGCCTTCTGATTAGTACGAGCTGCATGTAGATCATGCGCGAAAACAGCATCTTCAGGTAACGGCTCCTGCACCATCGCCACACTTTCGCTGTTTCTTCCTCAAGCTGGATGGTCACACGATTTTGCGTGTTTGCTCAGCGACGACGAGATACCTTGCATCGACAACTAAACGCTCGAGCCGTTTACGCACTGACGTTCGAGGGGCGCACAAGGACAGGGACTCTATCAAGGTTTGCACTATCAGAGTGCTCTAAATTAGGCTTCGATGGGGCCAAACATTGGTCCGCTGCGAAGGGGCGCAATGGAAAGCGCTTTGTTGTCCAGATCCGTGTTGGTGGGAAATATATTGATCTAAATTGATAGTCTTACGCAGTTTTGTATACGAAGTTCTGGATGCAACGGCCTTCGTTTTCTATTATCTTTGGTGCGCGGAGTTGGTGAGAATAGAAATCCGATTTGTGCGAATGCGTTGCAACACGCTCTGTGCAATCCTTGTTAGTAATCGATCTTGCAGAGCTGCTGTTATGGATTTAAGGGGTGACAGAGGCTTTCGACGTTGATCGCGAGCTTTGATCCAGGAGTTCAAAGGCTGGGATCATGTCATCCACGAGCATTAGCTTTCCTTTAGACTATCCTTCTGTGTATAGTCTTTAAATACATTGACAACATGCTGCGCGTACTTGAATGTCTCGTCCTTGATTCTCTGCGAGTCTATTCCATCGATTGCCGCACCAACCGTAACCGTCGCAATGGCGCCGCTCATGAACGGATGCAGTTTTTTTTTGCCACGCTCAGCGTCAATTTGACGCTGTGGGGTTGGGGTTTCCAGACCGGTGAAGCTAAGTTACTATGTAATTGCCACAAATCGACACAAGGAGGAAAGATACCTCAAAACGAAGCGGATTGGCTGCAAACTACTTGTTAATTGTTCAAAAACATCCCCCAAGTTTTCAATCTTAAAATCAGGCCTGAAATCGCATCAATTTACAGCTATTGAAGCAGTCAGCCTCAGTTGTCGTACCTTTTACACTCCCATTTTTAAACCACTGAAATCAACGCAACTTTGATGGTCAGAGCTGCTGTTTGATGAAGTCTGACCATTGTTTTCTACTCAAAGTCACTCAGAAAATATATATCCATATTAGGTAATGTTGCTGAGTCATCTTGGCATCAGTATATCGATTGAAGCCAAGGAAGGGGTGGGCGGGGGGTGGGTGGTTGTGATTTGTTGCAGATCAAAGAAAATATGTCACACAATTGGCACCCCTATCTAAAGCAAATGAGTATGAGGCTTTTTTGCATGGTGCAAAAAGATGATATAGAGCATACCTAATAGGAAAATCACAAAGCAGATCCATCGCGAAGAGCAAAAAACATGCAAGTGGGGCCGTATGACCAGACGTGAATGTCCAGAGAAACAAATCTAATTCCAGATCCATTTAAGGATCCAAAAGGTTGGAAACAAGTCCACTGCACCCCACAGACTCTGCAAGCCATTCTGGGATTCCACCAAGCTGAACCCGAAGAGCGGCACGGGTCTCCTACCCCTTGCATGATCGCAACAGACAAGAAGGCCGGAGCCAGTGTAAATATTGGGTGCCTCGGGGTTATTCAAAGCGCCTCCGGCGTCCCTTGAAGCTTCACGTGGCATTGGAAGACTCAAAGCTCCTTTTGGCGCATCGATATCCACCGGGCGCCCCAGGGCACAACTGAGCGCTGGGCTAGGGGGTGGGGGGGGCACCACTTGGATCCACTGGCGGGCAGGGGACTTCTGAAGCCCACTACAGTTTGCTGGGGCTCAGGAAATCAGAGGGGACACAAGACTCCATAGTGGGGCGCTTGGATCCACAGTGCCACGTTGTGGACCATTAGGGACTGCAGGGAGCCGCTGGAAGCCAATTGAGCCAAGGGAATCCACTGGAGGCCGTGTGGAGCTGAAGTGTGGCAGGACATGCACACAACTTCGAAGTTGCGCCTTGGGAATTCTCAAGCCCATATAGAGGCGCTGGAGATACCATCGCCGCAAACACCACAAAGGTGCCACTCACAGCAAGGCGCCACAACAGGCACAGGAGCAACCGCCCAAGACGCCATGGAAGCCAAACGAGCGTTTTGACGCCAGTCGATCTAGAGTCGATCTAGTAAAAGTCGGCCATTTTACATGGCACAAATTCGTGTACAATCGTGTAAAACCGTGTAAAAATCGTGTGAAAATCATGTACTTTGGAACCCGATTTTACATGGTTGCTGCTGGGTACACGTTTGAAATTGCGGACAACCGTGTTATTCACTGGGTTGTCCATGGACGTAAGGTGGAAAATTTCGTCTACTTTAATTGAGAACTACATGATTTTGGCAATCGTGTAATTTGTTATCGTGTACTTTTTTGTGGTCTTGTAGTTTTAACGATCGTGTAATTTTTGTTCATCGTGTACTACTACGGTGTTCCATGTAGTTTTGTGTGCGTTTTGGGCCAGGTTGGCACCGGTGCTGTCGACGATTTATCACGGATTTCGCGTAAAGAATCGTATTTCTTGGGGTGCTTTCAACTGTTGCGCTGTGTTGCAACTTTGTCAAATATAGGCGACTGTTGTGTGCAATGCACAAAGACACGAAACCAGACAAGAGAAGTGGATTCTAACAGAGGTATGTGCTCTTTGCTGAACAATCTATGCGCCACACCTGGTGCAGTTATCTCAATGCGTTCCCAACAGCACCGGTGAAGTACACTTGTAAGGAAAGTGATATGCGTCCTAATAATTTATAGTGCGAAGTACTATGTTATAATAGTAGTATTGTTGGTACTACAAGTAATTTGGATAACGCTTTGTGCTTCCCCGCTCTGCTGCGATCACTGTTGACTGTTGTTTGAAGAGTTTGTCCTGGGATTGCACGTGCGAAGGGTCTCGACGGGGAGATGGAGGAGGCCATAGGTGAATGGAAGGAATGTGGTCCAGTAGGCATAGTATACAGATCCAGGCAAGCACTGAAGATGAATTCAACGTTGTGAATGGAAGGTTATGAACGCACCTGCAGCCGACCTTGCAGTTGGCGCACAGCGACTCTTGTTACCGTTGTACTCTTTTCAGCATGTTTACAGGAAAGCTCATGGGTATCTGCTGAAACCCAGAATGGTGGTATTTAATTGCTATAATTCAAATTTGCCTTGTCGATGCACTAAACAGTAGGTTAGAAGGATCAATTTTCAACTCTGCTACTTACATCACAGATTTTGGCAAAACAACACCATTGAGCATGCAATGCAGTACTTTGCTTCCGCGTGGACACGCTGCCTGTGCACAGGATACCGCACGGGCATCATTGCTCCCGCTTGAAATTTTGCACAATCGATAATTGTAGCGGTAACTAAACATCTGCCAATCGCGATAGTAAGGCATCCAACTGAACTAAAGTACCCCTGACTCCGGAAAGGAAGTGTCCGTGCTTCAACGCTACAAGCAGCGCATCGAAAGACGTCGCGATTGTTCGAGACACGTCAGGCAAGAGATTCAGGTCATTGCACTGAATTGCCGATTGTTTGGGAATAACTGTTGAATGCCATGGATATTTCGATGTGGCACTGGCAAATTTGACATGTTCGGCACTGTCCCCAGCGCCAAGCACAAAGTCCCCGCCAATTTCCGCGACGCTGTGGCAACCATCAGATTGCAGCGTCCCCGACATTATTCGAAAGTGCCCAGGATCCTGGGCACGGGTCCGGACCCGTGCGCAAGACACCCCGTTCAGGCTATTTCATTTTTCGGTTCCATTAACTGTGAAACTTCTTAGAATCACAACAAATGAAAAGAATAAAATTTCTTAACTCCCGTTTTGGCTGTGCTGAAATGCAACCATAGCTGGATTAGCGCCCCTTGGAAGGAAAAACATCTGATGTGCGAGACCACACAATGCCCATATTGATGCAAAGGTCATCCAGTAGTGCTACAATTAGTCCAAGTATCTTCACAGCTGCAGGAACACATATTCATAGGTTAAATGAAATTTTCACTCGTTGCACTACGTGTGCACAAACTTGACTGTATGCGCAGGGAGCATGATCGAGCCTCTCGAATCCGGGAAGAAAAACGAGATGGAAATTGACGAAGGACGCCGTCTCAAGGCTCTTAGTTATTTTCGGGATTTGCCATCATCGTCACCTTCAACTCGGAATCGGAAGTGCTCGGAGTGGCAACAGCCTTGGTTCGAGCAAGCAACGACAACATAGAAGTGCTCCGCGGTCAGATTGAGGCCGTCACTCTGAAAAGGGACATCAACTTCGATTTAGGCTTCCGATCAGCACTTGACGTTTTCACCAACTCCAGCATCGTTACCGAGGATGTTGCACCAACCTGGGTATGCCGTAGGGTATATAATTTTCAAACTGGGCAATGGTTCGCCACTGGGGAGAATGGAGAAAATTTGGAAACCAAGCGCCAAGCATGCAAAGTGCTAATCAATCTGTAAACTAATTATGCTAGTCGATGCTGTGTTTTCTCTTTCAACACCATGCAGAGAGCTCAATTGTACAGTACACGATTATCATCATTTTAACGTCAAACAGTTCGGTCTGAATAC